TTTGAATATTACATGTTAATAACTTGATTGGAATTATAACCTTGAGTTGACAGTTTGATACTTTGAAAATTTTGAGCCAGCCCTACCCCCAAGGGCTGTAGGGTGGGGCTCAAGGGAGTCAGTGTGCTAAAATTTCTTCATTTTCCTTGTTTAGAATCAGAGGTGCTAGTTTCAAATCCTTTTTAGTCTGAAATCTGTATGCTTGATATTGAATAAGGTGGTTTTATTGTTTTTTGTCACTTTGAATAATATTTCTGTTCATGTTAAAAACGAAATCAACTCTCTGTATAAATATATCAGGTGACCGTTAAGGCCCATGGGCCTCTTGTTTAAGGTGACACAGTACTCTTACTCTTTGATTGTTACTTACGATCATTAAGTTAAATGTTTATTAATATGATGGGTTAACACTGTTTTTGTCTTTAATTGTAAGAGTTGAAAATAGATTCATTCCATGTCATGTTGATACAATGACATTTTTTGTTCAGTGTTTTGCATTTTTGTTCCTGTTTTCCCCTGACTGTGTTATAAAGAGGTCATGTTCCTGACAGAACTGACCCTGTAGCACCCAAAGCTATTCATTTCATCTTCATTTTTTATTTGGTACCAAAAAAAGGGGTGTCCTTGATTTTTAAGTTAGACTAGATGATTAGTTAGAGTTGAGTACCAAGTCATAATAGGTATCGGACATAATCAAGGCTTTATTTGGTCCACACTCATTTCTACTGTTGGAGTTCTTGCCCCTTATTTTATTTGTCCTAGACTAAGAAGTGGTAGTTCTGGGACATTATCGGGTATTTTGTTTTATGAGTGGTTTTACAGAGCTGTTGTGTTTCAAAGTTCAAGGAGCTGGTCTCCATGACATGTCATTTTTTACGTCAGATATGACGGCCATCTTTGTTTTGTGACATTGTGCGTATGTGTATGGTGAGGTGTTCCTTGTATAATGTACACTGTATTGTGTATACAATATACTTGTAGAGTTCAGGTGACTATTACTATGTAGTGGTATGCACACTGTATGTACTACATAATGTATAATGTAATGCTCGTAGCCTCTGTATAATATACTCTGTTCTCAAAATAAATACATTGTTTCTATAGTTACTCAAAATACTATATTAATTAAATAAATTTTCTAAATACATCTTTCTCTACATACACTGTTTCGAAATACACCTTTCTCCAAATACACTGTTTACAAAATACAAATTTTTATAGACTTTTCTCTGAAACACACTGTTCTTTAGATACACTGTTTTTTAATACATTGTTCTCTAAAAAATACATTTTTCTCTACATACAGTTTTTTATGCACTGTTCACTTAATACATTGTTTTTAGGATACTAGACCCTGTAACAAAGAAGTGTACATTTCACTGTGTAAATATATACAATGTGCTCTCAAATATATATTATTGTACAATACAGTGTACATAATGCTTTTTGTATACATTCAGCTTAAAAAATACTACATATAATGTTTATAGTACTTAACATATTTACAGAGTACTTCACAGTGTGCTTAGTAACACACATATTGTACATAGTTTTAGTGTCCTGTCAGTAGAATATTTGTACAGAAAAACGTGTTTTTAGTTAGTGACGTATACTGTACAGCGACTTTATTCTCAAGGCAGACGTTTTCAGGAGAGACTTAAAGTCAACAGTTTCAACAAATAACGTAATTCCAAAAGACACACATACCTTATAAAGAAACGATCACTTTCTGTTCTGAATGATATATGCATGATAAACTGTTTCGATCTACTTCTCTGTGATGAAAAATAACTCAAAAATATAAGTATTGTACAGTATGTGGTTGATGAATGTAAATATTTCTGTAAATACTAATTGTTAATATTTGTATGGGCTACCAGCATTGTACATGTTCACGTTTTTTGTCTGTATGCTGCATAAAGGACGTATATTTGTTTATATAGAAAAAGTGACGGAATATACTCACGATGTCGTGCTTGTTATCTCCACCAGGTGGAGTGAGTGAGCACATCCAGTTGGTCATCGGCATGTCATGTGTTAAGCACGCTCTGCAGTTTCTACTTTGATGATTCAAATCTTTTCCTGAATCACATGTGTTTTTGCTGTGTGATGTTGACTGAATTCTTTTTGAGCACAACACATGCTTCTGATTAGTTGATCTGTTAAGGTTATTTGACATTGAATTTTAGTTATGCAGAAACGTTTACTTTGGCAAGCCAATACAGATGGCGTCAGCCTGTATTCAAACTTGCAAGAGATGTAAGCTGTCATCAGATTAATTTGAAAGTCAACATTATTGCTTGATATGATCGAGATTTTCTACCCTGAAAATCAGGTTTTGCTTTAAAATCATTACTGCGGTAAAACAATTTCTGTCATTATTTGGGCATTGAGGTTTGCATAATGAATCGCATTTGTACATTATCTTGTAGTACAAATACATTATATAATACTCGGAAAGTGAGATTTTGTTTTCGTTGGTGTAAATCGGAAAAAAAAGTAGTTCAATGTTATTTTTTTTTGTTACTACGATAAGGAATCTATAAGCTTGTCACCTCTTTGGAGATTGATCCTCTTTCTGGTGTTTTTTATGTAGAAACTTCAGATCGTGTGTTTTATATACGATGTTGCTGCTATCCAACTCATTGTCGATGTAAAGAGTCAGTTGAATAAACACCAAGGATACCCATGTCAAATATTTTCTCAATTCTTCCTCTTGTTTGTTCCGAGTGAAGAAAGCATAACCTTGAACTAGTAAAAAAAGAAAAATGTTCAAATATTGACAACTATTTACCACAGGTAAGATACATGGCCATTTTCACACTTAATTACCAGTAAAATGTAAAACATTGACTTGTACTATTAACAACCTGTTAGAATTTCAAACTATGACACCATTTACACCCAGTTAACCAGTTACAAATTAAAACTTGCCACTTGGTACTCCCAGTAAACCAATTAGAACTTTTAATTTTGACACTATTTACACACAGCAAAAAAGTCCAACATTGACATTTATATTTATAATGCACTACCGATAAAATATGTCCAACATTGACACTTATAGCATCGCCTGTAAACAATTTCGACATGACAATTTAATATCGCAGTTACCAGGGGCAATTCAAGGATTTCCTAAAAGGGGGGGCCGAGAAATTTTTCTCAATAGTCAACGGTGTGTTGCGAAAGGCAGCAGCCCGAGCGCGTAGCGCGAGGAGGGGGAGGGTACAGACCCCCTCCCCCCGTAAGGGGGGTTTGGGGGATCTCCCCCCCCAAAAGATGTGTTTTCTAGAACGTCTCAGAAGTGATTTCCCGTGTTCTGAGGATTGTTTTTATGTTTAATTAACAAGAAGAAAAAAGCATATTTTAAGTATGGCCCAAAGACTTTTTTTGTGTACTGGAAAGAAAATTAAAGTCTCGGTTCAAATTCTCTATCAACAGCGTGTTTTAGAAGTCAGATGGTATTATTATAGGGGCAACCTGGTGATGACAAATGTATGAATCCACAGGGGTTTGTTCATTATTACCTAATTTGGCGTCCTGCCCGCAAGGGGGATACGAGAGGTCCACCGTCAAAATATAAATCTAGTCTTCAGACATGGTACGTTTGTCGTACAAAAGAACAAATAACACCATAACATCGTTGCTGTTTAATTAATGAGTTATTCATGGCATCACTAAGTTGCTAAACAAACGGTTAGTTCAAATCAGTGCGACACCCAAGGCCACTAGCTATATACAGGGGCGTTTCTAGGATATTTGAAAGAGGGGTCGTTGAATAAAATCTGTCACCGAGCGGAGCGAGGCGAAAAAAGTTTTGGACCTTTTTTTTGCTAAATAACATAAAATAATTGTGAAATGCACTAATGTAATGGTTCCTGACTTGGAGCAGGTATATTTTATAGTTGAAGTGTCATGGTTTGACATTTTTGTTTTATCAGAGTATGTCTTTAATGTCTTTAATTAATGAATATGATAAATTGCCATATTCAATACAATATTAGCAGATTACGATAAAAAAAAAAATCTTTATTGAAAAGGGGGGGGGGGGGGGGGGGGGTACGCCCATTACGCCCTCACCTGGACCCGCCCCTGATATAGTCTCGCGTTTTATAATTGTTGACTAATTCATTAGTGTAGACAATTATATACCTGAAATGTCAACGCTGATTAACTCATGTAGTTTCAAGTTTCAAGTTTTCAAGTTTTAAGGTTGTAAGGGCGTGCATATTACCAACGGTGGTACCTTTGCTAAGCTATCTGGTTAAAATGGTACAACTTAGGAGGCACATACGCGTCACCTTTAAATTTAATTTAAAATTATCATACTTGTAAGTACAGCATATCATCTCATTCTAGTACTAGTACCTATTACTACGTACACAATAGTATGCTGTGTGAAGATACTTTCTTGTACGTACACGATGGTAAGCTATAAGTACCAGGATGAAATATTATGTTGTACATACAAGATAGTTAAACAGTTCCAACAATATATATAATACCAAAATAATTGAATGGATATGTTAAGTCGATTATACATAATATTGTCAGCCGAAAAAA